TCCAAACTATCTATCTATCTATCTATCTATCTATCTATCTATCTATCTATCTATCTATCTATCTATCTATCTATCTATCTATCTATCTATCTATCTATCTATCTATCTATCTATCTATCTATCTATCTATCTATCTATCTATCTATCTATCTATCTATCTATCTATCTATCTATCTATCTATCTATCTATCTATCTATCTATCTATCTATCTATCTATCTATCTATCTATCTACTATCTATCTATCTATCTATCTATCTATCTATCTATCTATCTATCTATCTATCTATCTATCTATCTATCTATCTATCTATCTATCTATCTATCTATCTATCTATCTATCTATCTATCTATCTATCTATCTATCTATCTATCTATCTATCTATCTATCTATCTATCTATCTATCTATCTATCTATCTATCTATCTATCTATCTATCTATCTATCTATCTATCTATCTATCTATCTATCTATCTATCTATCTATCTATCTATCTATCTATCTATCTATCTATCTATCTATCTATCTATCTATCTATCTATCTATCTATCTATCTATCTATCTAGCTATCTATCTATCTATCTATCTATCTATCTATCTATCTATCTATCTATCTATCTATCTATCTATCTATCTATCTATCTATCTATCTATCTATCTATCTATCTATCTATCTATCTATCTATCTATCTATCTATCTATCTATCTATCTATCTATCTATCTATCTATTCTATCTATCTATCTATCTATCTATCTATCTATCTATCTATCTATCTATCTATCTACTATCTATCGATCTATCGATCTATCGATCTATCGATCTATCTAAAATCGAATTTTCTAAAGAGGGTCATTGCGCTTCGGGTCTTCTTCTTTTTATTTTTGCAGAACTAGTTGTAAGCTGAAATATATATTACGTAACAAATTTAGCAAAATTTATTACTCTACACAGCTGTCCAATATAAATAAATTAATTTGAATTTAAGACATTAGATTAGTTGCAGTGACAATTTATTGCACTAGTTATTCATTTAAAGAAATATTTAATATCTTTTTGGAAGTCAATTTACCTTATACAACTTTATTATATGACAATTGGTATCTATTTCAAATTTATTGATATTTTGAACTTGTTATGTCTTTGATTTTTATTAATATTAAACTTAAAATATAAAAGAAAATTACTTTGTTTTAGACTTCATTTACATATCAATCAAAATGGATTTAATGATTTAAAGCGTCTTATCAATCAATGCATTCGTATGTCACACAGATATTTAAAGTGGAGGTGGATCATTGTATGGACTGATTGATGGATTACTAATAGACCCGCACATCAATAGATTAGTTGTCAAAATATAAAATATTAATAAAATATGATACTCTTATTAGATTAAGCCCAGCCCAAATAAAATAATAAAACAAATCAAACAATTTATACATTTTGAATTTGAGTTTGAGTGGTGTTAAAAAATCCTCATTGATATGCAAAAATCAAAATTAAAATACATTTCAAATACATTCAAACATTTGTAAAATGTCTGCCAATGTTAGTTCCGCATTAAATTCAAAATCGTTTTCTGTGTCGAGTGACAAAAAATTCATTTCAAAAACACACCAAAACTGAGAGACAAATGAATGTGCAAATGAGCCTAAATTACGACTATTATGCAAGACTTATATTTAAAAAAACGTAACATAGTTTAACGGTCAACATAGTTTTAGTCTTGTTTTGTTTCACATAATATTGAAAATATTAAATGTTATATTGGAAAAAAATATATCGAATAGTTTTGGTATTTACTTGGCAAATGTCTTTTAAACTATGTAAATCATGTTGATAATTTAATTTTGCTTATTGTTTGCTATTGTTTTAAAAATATTTTAATTAAATTTATTATACCTTTTTGGCTGCTGCAGTTTGTTAACAAGATGCTGTTGGAACTGCTACTGCTAATTGGTTGTATAATATTCATATTTGTAATGCTGAGCAGACAGACTCCAATTTAATTTATGACAGTTATGTACTACATACATATATGTATTTAAATGTATGCTGCCTTAGTTACCACTATTGGGCAATTATGGGTATTAGGTCACCTATTTGATGTTCGAAAAGGCATTTGCCATAAAACCGTTAAAATATTTTAGATACTTATTAACACATTGTTTTTTGTTTTATATTAAATTATTTTTTTGTTTTTATTTAAAAATTTGCATAAATATGTCACTCTAGTTTGTGTTAAAAAAATATAAAAAATTAAAACACTTTTGTTTTAGGATCTTTTTGAAATTGTATTAATTAACCACTTTTTGACCTTCTCAAACACTAGAAAAAAATATCGATTTAGAAATACTTTAATTAAAGATTTTTTGCGATTTATCATATGAAAAATATTGTTTGCGGAGGTGTTACCAAACTAAATGATTATTATTTGAGCAAACTGTGCGAAATAAAATCAAATTAATGTCAAAATAAAGAAACGAAAACATTTAATAGTAGATATAGAGTAAGCAGGGTCGTGTTTGATAAGGGTTTAAGTTAGGAAATAGTCCCCCAATAGTATTTTTATGTAAATCTTCAAAGCAGATAGATATAAAAGAAAACCTCAACAAAATTTAAAATTGCTTAAAGCTTTGTTAGGCTATCATTAAATAGGTATTAAAGTCAATTTTTGGGCTAAGCTAGAGGATTTATGACCTAAAGGATTTAAATCTGTGATTAATTGGCATCAAAATTAGATTTTTGAGTGACAACATAAAAGTCAATTTTCTGACTAAACAGGAGCATATAGGCCAAAATAGATTAGATGCTACTAAAATTCGACTTTCGAGTGAAAACAAAAAGGTCCCTTTTCTGGCTAAACTAGAAGCCCATGGTCAAAAAGGATTGAAGGTATGATAATTTTTATTTCCGACCAAAAATTTTGTTTGAGAGAAAACATAAAAGTTCATTTTCTTTCTAAATTAGAGGATCTAGGGCAAAACGGATTGAAATCTGTGATCACTTTGAGTTTTCACCAAAAATCGATTTTTGATTGATAACATAAAAGTGCATTATCTGGCTAAATTAGATGCTCTAGGGAAGGGAAGGGGTTGAGAGTTAATTTTCTGAATAAACTAGAGGCTCTAGGGCTAAAAGGATTGAAGTATGTGATCACTTTTAGTTCCTACCAAAAATTGATTTTTGAGTGAAAACATATATGTCAGTTTTCTGGCCAAACGAGAGGACCTAGGGCAAAAAGGATTAAAATCTGTGATTACTCTTAATTGGCACCAAAAATAGATTTTTGAGTGAAAACATAGAAATCCACTTTCTAAACTGGAGGCTTTGTGATCACTTCTCACCAATTGCCACTAAAATGTTATTTCTGAGTGAAAACACAACACTTCATCTTCGTGAGAAGGGAATAAACATATAAGTTTGTTATTCCGTTTGTAATTTCCTTAATATAATCCGATCCTATATATGTATATTATAGATCTTAATAGATAGCGGAGTCGATTAAGCCATGTCCGTCTGTCTGTCTGTTAAAATCAATTGTCTGAAGACCCCAGATATCTTCGGGATCCAAATCATCAATAATTCTGTTAAACATGTCTTCGAAAAGTTTACTATTAAAAATCAGCAAAATCCGTCCATAAATAACGGAGATATAAGCAAAAATCCGAGGCAACCACCTGAAAATTTCATTTGCATGCTTTGATAAAAAAGCAACAACAAAATTGGAAAAAACGTATGTTTGGATGTGTGTAGGTTTCATTGCTTTGTGTATTTTGTTTTTGTGTGTTTTATTTCGACTCCTTTGGATAATTTTTGCTTAGACCAATAGGTGAAAAATTACACTCATTTGATTAAACCCCTGTATGACCAAAATGTCGAACTTTGACTCCCTCTAAGTTCTGGACCGATAGCGCTGAATATTTGTGTTTGCCCAGTAGTACTAACCTTGGTGCAAATTTCATCAAAATCGGAAGACATCGATTTTAAAAGCTAACACAAAATGACCCATATATAAGATTCGGCAAAGACGAATATAGATTTCTTTATATAGATCTTTTTGTTCGAAAACCTAAAATGACGTACTGAATTCAGAAAATCAATAATTTATTTTGTAACTAAATTATAAACTGGGTGATACATATTTTTAACTTTTATAAATGAGCATTTAATTTGCAAATAACATGCAATTTATGCTAACACTCATTTATAACAAAACTGTCATAACTTAAAATTTGCCGTTCTAAAGTTTTATCTATTTTCAAAAATCTTTTTTTTTTCAAATCCCATGATTTGTTAAATAGTTGAAAAATAGTAAAAAGGCATAAAATATTAAAAGCTATTTTTTCCCGAAACAATATTTTTTCAGTTATACCAGTCTTGTAGTAAATGGGCGATATGTTATGTTAACAAACTATACATATTCATTCATAATCAAATATTCTTTTCAGAAAGTTCAACATATGAAACAATTGTATAAATTTTAGTCAAATTGATGCTTGATTTGCCAAAATGGTAAACTCCACATTTAGAATATTTATTTAAGCAATTATTTGTCTTATCTCTTATTCCTCTTATTTCTCTCTTATTTCCTTTAATTATTTTTTTTTGTTATTTGTTTAAATAAATAAAGTTTATTTAATAAACATTGTTTTCTACTTAATAAATTCATTGATGATACTTGTTTACATGCAGTTAACATGACATAACATGCCTGTTAAATGTTACAATTTTTGCACAATTTGTGATTTGTGTGGGCCAGTTACAATTAGGCATTCACTGACTGAATTCCAAAACTTTAAATAAAACAGAAAAAATTGCAGCCAATAAATAACAACAAGTCGAGAGAAAAAAGAAATTGCAATAATTAAATATGTTTAAAAAGTATTTTATAAATTATATGGCTTTAATAAATTTAACAATTTATTTAACAATGGCGAAATTAGAAGTAAATTTTTTGGAAAATTGGTTGGAAAAGAAAAAATTTGTATTAACTTTGATGGATTTATTGAAACAAGTGAAAAAACAGCAAACTTATGACTATATTTTAATAGTTAACGGGGGAAATATTACCACACCTATGGAGTCCTGTTTACTGTTGGAGTTGCTAAGAAAAATTGAAATTCCTAGTATTTTCTTAAATACAAGGGAATTGGAAATTATGAAAAGCTCAACACATTCCACTAATGTAATAATAATGTCCTGCCATTATATGGAATACAATAATGAGTATTGGTTCAATACCGATTATCAATTAGCACCACATATCATTTTAGCTACAGATGAGGAAGATATTTTTGACATTTGTCAAACTCTTATGAAAACGGAAGTTTATAAAGCGGTTATTATATTAAAAGACTATGGCTCAACAAAAACTTACCACAGTTGCAAAGTAGACTTCGGAAAAGTAGATAAAGTGGCTGAAATTATTCCTGGTGTATTCGAAGAAAATGTTCAGGTTTTTCCCTATCTATGGACTAATATAGAAAATGTTAAAATATCCACCCATCCGGATCAAATGTTGCCGCGTAGTTTTATTTATTACAATGCCTCTGGTGCCATCAAAATGGATGGTTATGTGGGTAATATATTGGAAACATTTTCAGAACGTGTAAATGCTGCTCTGGTCTATAAATATCCTTTAAAAGTGGGCATAAAAACATTTTTTGAAATTCTAGAGAATCGTACTTTGGAGGGCAAGTTGGATGTGGCAACTGGTGTTAGACCGGTTTATGATGATTTAATAAATTTGGCCTATCCCGTGGAATTTATGGATTTTTGCTACATGATACCTTTGCCACATTATTTACCCACTAATATTTTATATTTCATTGTAGTGGACACTAGAACCATGGTCATTATCTTAATGTTGCTGTATATCTACGCCATTCTAATAACTTTGGCTGAGTATAGATCCAAGGAGTACTTGACTTTCATTAATGTGTTTTTGAATGATAAGAGTATACGTGGTCTTTTGGGTCAATCATTTATAATGCCCGATAAGTCTAGCTTATTGTTAAAATATGTTTGTTTTCTAATATGTTTAACCAGCCTACTGCTTAATACCGCCTATCAGGCCTATTTACAATCGTATTTTACCGAACCTCCTTCTAAACAACTGGTGCTTACATATGATGACATACGTCAGGCAGGCTTGCATATTAAGGCCAGCACACGTGAATTAAAGTATCTGGATCCTTATATAGTCAATAAATACAAAGACATTTTTATATTTTACGAAAACTATGATTTGTATGTGGAACAACGTGACACTATGGATACTAGTTATGCCTATACCGTTACTAGACCCCTGTGGTCGGTCTATCATGAAAAACAGAAACTTTTCGAACGCCGCATGTATTACTATTCCTCGCAATTGTGTTTGAAAGAGCTATTTTTGGTTGCCATGCCTGTGAGACCTGGTTGGCCCTATCGTGATCTTTTCAATCGTCATATTATGCAATTACGTGATGTCGGTCTTATGGAACATTGGACCAGTAATACTTTCTTAACAATGTTAAAATTTGGCCATACGAATTTTGAAGATTTAAGTACAGCCGATATAGAGGAAGATGAAATCACACTAGATGATCTATTTTGGATATGGGTGTTGTATACGATTTGTATTACTATATCTAGCGTGGTATTTATAGGGGAAATAATTGTTATGAGATTTTTAAATAATATTATTTAAATAAATTATATTAAAAGGGTTTTTAATTTTTCTTCTTGTTTTCTTTAAAATAAAATATTCCAAGAATATAATTAAACTCGAATTCTGAGTTCGTGACAATTAGATAATGTTTGAGGTTTTCAAAAAAATTTGTTAAACCTTAACAAGTTCAAACCAAAATATCTGTACAAAAAATATGTAGGTCTTAATCTATAGTGATACCTTTGAAACAGGGTTTATCTCGTAAGTTCTCATATCCTTTGAACTTATGGATGAATGCTATGTGATACCTGTGCCAAGAGTAAAACCTATAAATCAAATATTTTTCAACATTATACAGAACAGAGTATTGTTTATATATATTTTGATTTCAATGATTTATGCTCTTTTCTTAAGTATTGGTCGTTGTAATTCGGTGCGTCAGTTACGCTTTATTGATCTGTGATAATATATAGGTTTTAAGTTTAGTCAGTCATGTAGTAGTTAATAGTTAGTTATTAGTTAGTTGTTAGTTTAGTTAGTTAGTTAGTTAGTTAGTTATTAGTTAGTTCGTTAGTTATTAGTTAGTTTAGTTAGTTAGTTAGTTAGTTAGTTAGTTCGTTAGTTAGTTAGTTAGTTAGTTATTTATTGTTAGTTTAGTTAGTTTAGTTCGTTAGTTGTTCGTTCGTTCGTTAGTTTAGTTAGTTCGTTAGTTCGTTAGTTTCGTTCGTTTTTTTTAGTTAGTTTCGTTAGTTCGTTTTTTAGTTCGTTCGTTGTTCGTTCGTTTTCGTTCGTTAGTTTCTTATTAGTTCGTTAGTTCGTTCGTTTAGTTAGTTCGTTCGTTATTCGTTTTCGTTCGTTATTCGTTGTTCGTTCGTTTTCGTTCGTTTTTAGTTCGTTCTCGTTTTTTTCGTTCGTTCGTTGTTTCGTTCGTTCGTTCGTTCGTTCGTTCGTTCTGTTTGTTCGTTAGTCGTTCGTTCGTTCGTCCGTTCGTTCTTTCGTTCGTTCGTTCGTCCGTTTTTTCGTTCGTTGGTTGGTTCGTTAGTTAGTTCGTTCGTTTTCGTTCGTTAGTTCGTTCGTTCGTTCTTCGTTAGTTCGTTCGTTCGTTCGTTAGTTCGTTCGTTTTCGTTTTCGTTCGTTAGTTTTTTGTTAGTTCGTCGTTCTTCGTTAGTTCGTTAGTTAGTTCGTTTCGTTAGTTCGTTGTTAGTTAGTTGTTCGTTCGTTGTTGTTCGTTAGTTAGTTAGTTAGTTAGTAGTTAGTTAGTTAGTTGTTAGTTAGTTAGTTAGTTAGTTAGTTAGTTATTAGTTGTTCGTTAGTTAGTGGTTGTTCGGTTCGTTGGTGTGTTCGTTCATTGGATTGTTGGTTCGATGATTGGTTCGTTGGTTAGTCAGTTTTAAAGGAGGATATTTGTTGCATAAGGTACATCTGTTATAGGTCGTGTTCGGGAATCGTCTGCATAGAATCGATATTTTTACATTGTAATACAGCTTTTTGTGTGATACATCGTTAGAGGTATGTATGAAACGCCCCTGCCAAATAAATCACTTCTACTTGTTGACATTGAATAATTTTCATCAGAATTAAGGTCAAACGTCAGAAAATAGTTCATCAGCAACAAGTAAATTAAGTTTATCACCAACTTTAAAAATAAATTTAAACTTCAGGGACCTTTTGTCGCACAAAAAATTCATGTAACTTGTCAAAACAATTATCCTTAAATGTTTTAACAAAATATTTCCATAAATAACAACGAAAACTATGTTCAACAACTATAAATAATTAATGAAGACAAAGTTTTGTATTCGAGCGGTTAAAAAAGGAAAATCTGCTCAAAAGTTTAAAATATTTAGTTCAGTTAACAGCTAAAATGCATACGAATAAAATATATTTTATTTATTTGGGCATTATTTTATTTTATCCCAGTCAAGGACTACTCCCCAATGAACTACTCAATCAGCCATTGATTCGTGATGAACATTTAGTGAAACAATTTGTACAGTTTTTAAACATGGTACGCCTCGAATACCAATATGATTATATAGTCATAGTGAAGAATGTGACAAAGAAAAGTTCATGTGTATTGGAGGATTCTATTGGTGAAGTAAGTGAACCCATTATTCTGCTAACTACATTGAAACAGCAACATTTGCTACAACTGCAGCATTCGACTAATTTTCTTTTACTAACCTGTTCATGGCAGTATTTAAATCAATTGAATATTTCAAATACCGTCTATCAATATGTGCCTCATATTATTTGGTATCAAACAACTGCTGATTTACAAGGAAGCAAAGAGGAAATAAGCAAATTATGTGTTAGTATACATAGCAATGGCTATTTTCAGAATCTAATATTAACATCAAAAGCTCTGGAAGGAAACGAGGATTATTTAAAGTGTAATATACAAAAAGATGTACAAACCGTCAGCCAAACATTATTCGCTAATCCATTTCTTAATATGCAGGGACTGCCGATAGTCACAGAATCGGATCAATTACCTCCACGCAGTATTTTATTTTATGATGATTTTGGCCAATTGCAGATAACTGGCTTCATTGCAAATTACTTGACCACCTTTGCCGAAAGATACAATGCCACTCTGGTAATAGTGCCACCAGCTAATATGGGAGTGACAGTGTATTCCGATCTTTTAGGTAATAAAACATTTCAAGGTTTACTAGATATAGCAGCCGTGGTGAATCGTTTTACCATGCACAACAGCACTTTGGAGACATATTCCTACCCCGTAGAGTTAATGGAATATTGTTATATGATTCCCTTGCCTCATTTACGTCCAGCCTATCATGTATTTTTGGATATTATTGAACTGAATGTCATGCTTATTATACTTTGTTATTCTTTTATATACGCCATTTTACTTCATATCGGACAATATAATAATTTCAAAAATTTGAATGTGATCGATATAGTGTTAAATGATAAAAGCATACGCGGCCTATTGGGTCAGTCTTTTGTGATGCCCCGACAAACTTCGCTATTTATGAAGTACATTTGTTTTTTGCTCTGCTATAGTAGTATACTAATCTGCACCACATATGAAGCCTATTTACAATCTCATATGGTTCATCCATCTCTTGAAAAACGCATGGAGACTTATGATGATATACGTAAAAATAATTATAAAATATTAATAAATTATCGAGAATCAGTATTTCTATGTCCTGAAATTTTAAAACAACATAATGATATCTTTGTTAAAGTAAGAGATCTTGAAAGACTTTTAACATTACGTCAGAACATGGATATACGTTATATATATCCGGTCTCTCAAACTCGTTGGTTTGTGTTTAATGAACGTCAGAAACTTTTTCAAAGAAAACTTTTCTACTATTCTTCTCAATTATGTTTGAGCCATTTGGATTTACTATCATTTCCTCTACGACCTGGATTGCCTTACCGCTACCAGTTTGATCAGCATTTATTGGATGTAAGAGATACGGGTCTTTTAGATCATTGGTTGGAGAATAATTTTTTAACCATGGTGAGTCTTAAACTGTCCTCTTTTGAGGATTTAAGTATCGCTGATGAATATGGACAGGTTTTAGAGTTAATGGACTATTTATGGATATGGATTTTATATGCCGCCTGCATTTTGTTTTCATTATTTGTGTTTTTAGGGGAGTTATTGTATTGTAAAGTTTTTAAATGAATTATTATATAGAATTTTATATAAGAATGACTTTTGTTAATAAATTAACATTAAAAATCTAATTTGTTTATTAAAATACTTAAATTTATTAAAAATTTGATTGAAAATTTAAGTTAAACTAGAAAGTGTGGTAAATTTAAAGTGAATTTTAAAAAGTTGACCTATTTATATGTATATGAACCTACACAGAGGGAAAAACAAAACGTTTTAAAATTATACACGCCTGGTAACAAATTGACACAAAAATGTTTTTCACTAACACCCGTTGTCAAAGTATGTACGGATTGTTGTCAAATCAACAACAAATATTTAAAAAATAGACGACGTTATCAAATCAAAAAAAAAAAAAAAAAAAAAATAATAATAAAGTGAACGTTGCGTTGTCGAAATAACAACGATTCGTGTCGAAATCACAGCGATAAATTGCGGGAATGACACAATGTGTAATCGAAATGACAACAATGCGTTGTCAAAACTACAATGGTGGTTGTCGAAATGATAACTTGGAGTTATTAAATTTTTATACACATCCGTTTTCTAAATGTTAAAAAATGCGGTAAGTTCACTTTTGACAACGGATTGTATCAATTTCAATACTTTTCTACCGGTTTTTACCATCTGTGTTGATCTTTATGGATCTTTCTTTTTCATTTGAGGGTTAATTATCTTCTACAGAATTTGAAAGGGTTATGGGAACTAAAGTTAAATATGACCCGGGGTTTTGAATTCTTATTTACAAATAAATTATGATTATAAATCGATTCGGTTTCAACTGCCAATATTCCTGAGATATTCTTGCCAAGTATTTAGAAAATGTATAAATCGACTTTCTGAAAGCGATCTTTTACCGCTAATAACCCATTAGGGGACTAGTTTTTTTTTATTACAGAGCCGTTTCACTTTGCTCTATGCCAATATTTTAATGTGTATTATGCAAATTACATGCGATTTATAAAAATATATAATAGTTTTAAACACTCTTGATGAAAGGTATAAATAATTCATAATTTTATGCAATCAATTTCATTATAATAGTAACACAACATTGTATCAAAAGATATCCCAGCAAAAGCAATTGTATTTAGTTATGCATTACATAGAAGTAGTTAATTCATGACTTATTAATAATGATATACATATGTATATGTTTACTGTTGAAATAATGTGTAGGGGAATTTAAAAGCATACAAAGCATTATTATAATTCCCAATTATTTAAGAATAGTTTATACATAAGTAATTATGTTTTAATCTAGGAAATTGTATATATATGACCTTTTATATTAAATTAATATATTTTATAATTTCTTTAAAAAGGTTTTCAATAAAACAAGATTTTTGTTATAATTTTAAAACTTTACTTTATAATTAACATATTTTGCTGGGTATGTATGAATATTAGTAGACAATAAATCTAAGTATTTGGTAAAATATAATCGAAACATTCAGTTGAAATTGTTCTTTAAAATGTTTAAAGTTAAAATAATTTATTTATGGTGCACTTTATTTATTGTCATCGTATTTACCGGGAAAGGTGTTTTATCTACCCAAATTGAACCGGAGTTAATAAAGAATAATAAGGAATTCAAAGAAAACTTTTTGCAATTATTAAGAGAAATTCAATTAGAAAATAATTTCAATTATATTCTAATAATTAAAGAATCTTTAAATGACTGTATAATTGATTCTGTGCTTGAACATTTAAATGCACCCTGGTTTATAATGACGAATATAAATGATGTACATTTGCTGCAGACTTACTCTAAAGAAATGTTAATTATATCCTGTATGGGACCTTTAATAGTACATTTTGGAAATGTAGAATTTCGTTATGTGCGTTACGTAATACTTATGAAATCTTTTAAAGCATTGAATGCCATATGCAACTCCGTGAATTATGAAATTGGCAATTTACAACATATTCTATTAACTGAGGATTCTATGCGCAATCAAACATTATACTATTGTCCTCTTTGGGTTGGATCATACAAAATATTAGGACAGGAACAAAATGAAAAAATATTTGCAAATAATTATATTAATATGGCTGGTCGTGCAATCGTAACTCAGTCAAATCTATTGCCACCTTTTAATATCTTGTACAATGATCAATTTGGAAAGAAAAAATTAGAAGGATATGTGGCCAATTGTGTGAAAACTTATGCTGAAAGGCATTTTGCTGGTTTGGACATAATGAGCACAGCAAATGTGTTACATTACAAAGAACTCTATGATTACGTGATCCAAGGTATAATCGATATACCCTCAATAGTTATACCTCTGAGACATAAGGGTTTGTCCAGTAATTTCTCATATCCTTTGGAGTTTATAGATGAATGTTTTATGATACCATTACCTAGAGCTAAACCTATAAAGGGTATATTTTTTAATATAACTCAGTGGCATGTATTGCTAATTATAGTTTTACTTTCGATAATATATGCAATATTCTTAAATATTGAACATTTTAATACATTTCATCAAATACGTCTAATTGATGTGATTTTCAGTGATAAAAGCATACGTGGTCTATTGGGTCAATCGTTTGTAATGCCACAGAAAATTACTATATTTATCAAATATGTTTATCTTTTAATATTCTACACCAATATAATGATCATGACTTTCTATACGGCCTATTTACAATCAAATCTTATTTCACCACCTTTGGAGAAAAAAATTACAAATCTTGAGGACATCAGACAAGCTGGTTTAAAAGTTGCAGTACATCCCAGAGACTTGGAAGATTGGGATTATAATTTTTATAAAAATTACCAGGATATTTTGCATATAACCGGTGACAATTATTCGGATTTTAAAAATTTACGTGATAGCATGGACTTGCGTTATGTTTATCCTGTAGACTATCCCAGTTGGACTATATACCATGAACAGCAGAAATTGTTTCAACGTAAATTGTTTTTCTTCTCCAAAGATCTGTGCATAAGTCGAATGAGTTTATTTGCTATACCTATACGAGCCAATTTGCCCTATAAGGAAATGTTTAATCAACATTTGTTGGATGTTCGTGATACGGGTCTGCTGCAGCACTGGTTCGATGAAGTTTTCATAACTTTAATACGTTTAAAAATATTATCCTTTAAGGACTTAAGTGCACCTAATAATTATGATGGTCTTATTCATTGGAATGATCTTTATTGGATTTGGTTATTATATTGTGGATGTATGATATTTGCTGGTATGGTCTTTGTTGTGGAATTGATGACCTATGTTTTGGTAAAAACTTTTAGTAAACTTTAAAATTAAATAAGTTTAAACTTTTGAAGGGTCTTTTACAAAAATTGCACATATATAATTTAATATTCGTTTCACAATTTTAAAATAAATATTTTTAAATTAAATTAAAAACAAAATGTATTAAATTCATTTCATAGTTTTATTTATATTTATTTTGGATTTTTGTAAAAAAAAACATTACCCAAAGTTTCCATTAAAAAAACAATTAAACCTATTATTAAAACTAACCAAATCCATAATAAATCCTCCTCCGACAATTTTTCAAAGGAATTTAATTTACTCGTATCTCTAAGAGAGATATTACCCAATCTCAACATATCGTAAAACGTATGAGATTGCCAGGCATAGAACAAGCCTACCGAATGTACACGATGTATTAGATAATCCAAAGCTTCTTTGTACATCGAATTCTCCTGTAAAGGTATACTAAGCATAAGCAAATCCATTATATATATATTTTCAGAAGTACAAAATATTTTGTGGGTAAAGAAAGTTTGTTTCTTTAGGAAAATATTCCAAAGACCCGTGGTAACGGTATAACTATAGGTGGTGTTGAAACTCTTGCGATATTTATGATATAAAGTAGTGTTGTTGAGGTATACAATTGAATCCTGCATTTTCTCCATAATGCCATTATCATTGGTATCTAGGTTCTTCATATCCAATATATCCATTAATATCTTCTTACCGGCAGTACGTAAATCATCAAAGGTTTTTGATTGCTTTTGTAAAGGCGGTTTGGTAATGAGTGTTTTTAAATGAGCCGAATAATAGGTGCTTAATAGTAAACCCAATGTTAAGATTAAAACATAAAACAATTTTATACTACAAACACCGGATTTCTTTAAAATAAACGATTGTCCCAGAAGACCCGGTATAACTTTATCATTTACAAATATATTCAGCCAATAGCAGCGTTTGTGAAATAGTTTCTCTGTTAAGCTAAGCAGACCGGAAAATATTATCGTAAAGCCTATTATAAAGACAAATACTTGTGGTGTTATAATTAATATGAATATTTTCTTAGTTTCCATTGGCCGGGCACAGGGTGTCATAATAATCCATTTGCCAATTTCTAAAGGATACGAAAGACTCAACCACTTATCGCCTAAAAACGATGACTCCAAACTCATGGGTATATCCAATTGACCATGTTTAGTCATGTTGTCTATAATACTTAAATGTAGAATTTCATTAATTTTTAAGGGAAGGGCCATTTTTAAGGAGGCATTATATTTCTCAGCAAATAATTGCACACATTTGGCAGTAAAACCGCTTAATTGTAGTTGTCCTTTAGCATTCAGCCATATTAAAGAACGAGGCTGTATCTGATCGGCTAGAGTTAAAACAGTTTTACCCTTCATATCCCGCCAATGTTGAGGATACAATTTAAATTCTCTATCAAATCTTCTATTTTGAAAATGATAATCTTGAAAGGGTTTCAACTGCCAATATTCCTGAGATATTTCTAGCGAAGTATTTAGAAAATGTATGATTACATTCATCATTTTATATTTTTCACATTCTTTTAAAACTCTGCTTTCGAGTGGTTCCGTTTTAATAGTATTTACAAAAATTATTAAAATTCTTATTTGACGCATAAAATTTAAAGTCAAAGTTATAGAACTCCAAAGATGTTCATTAAAATAATTTTCCATAATAATCACCATTAATATTTCACTATTATAATGTTTTTTATAGTAAAAACTTGTAGAATTCATATAAATGATTATTTTTGGTTCTTTAATTTCGAAAATTTTCTCTAATCTTTCGTCTTTGGGCAAATGTTGTTCTTGTACTATTAACACTGTTTCATATGCCTGTTCCAGTTTGATTTTATTTAAAATGTTTTTGTAAAAATTTAAATGTTTTTCTTCATTTCTGGTGTAATATTGCTGGACAAAATTTCCGTTTATTTGACTTGTAAAGACAAGTAGTATAATTAAACTGTTCGAGTTAAACATTACGAATGATGAACATTTTGTGATTTTTTGAAATATTTCAATTCCCATTATGTGAATAGTCCTTGGAACATGTGTTAATGACAGTTTTTGTTTCCCTTGACTGCAATCAATTTAATTATTTTGTGTTTTGTGGTTGTTAATTTTATTAAATTAAAACAAATTTAATAATTTTTTTTCACAGCCAGTGGCCAATGGGTAAATAAAGAAGTCAGTTGTTTCAGACTATAACAATCTTTATTCTAGACATATAGAAAAATGTATCTTAATTCCGACATTGTTAAGTAATTTAAAGATAAAAAAGTAATTTCTGTAAGTGTGTTTATATAGGGGCTAGGGTCAAATATTGGCCGATCTTAATAAAATAGTGTATAGATTAATGTTTATATAAAAGTTTTATCGCGATACTATAGTTTTTAAGCGAATTTACTAAAAAATGTTTGCTAGGGTCATGTGGCCCGATCATAACGATAGTCGGCATTTACACTAGTTTGATAGCAGGATCTGAAAAAAATACATCTAGGCCTTTATCGGGCTTACATGCTGTAAAATGTTACTTGGTAAAAACAAAAACCTTATATAGTATCCACTGAACATATTAACGTCCGATGTTTAAAAGCTCTATTTTCTGGTCGTTATTCCTAAGAATTTTCCAATCAGTATTCGTGAGATATAACTATTATCACTCCCAAGACATTTAGAACTAATTTTTACGAAAGCCATTCAACCCTCGTTGCTTCGAATGGTTTTGAGTTCGCCCGCCAGTTTAACTATTTCAAGCTTACACCCCTATAAAGCTAGTACAGTCCGCTCCCGAGTGTCCTGGTCTTAGATTGCACTTTATTACCTGACATCGCCCTAATTACCTTCTGGCTGTCGGTGAATATGTTAACCCTGTTGGCATATTTATTCTAATCCAATTTACGCATTCCGTTATTACCCGGACTTCTGTCTGGAAGCTAGTATTGTGGTTAAGTAAACGGTAGTATATTTCTATTTCTGGGTCTTTAATATAGAACCCCAGGCCCGCTTTATCCCCCAATTTAGAGCCATTCGTGTAGCATCGGATTTCTACTGGTATTTGCTCTAATGTTCCGCTTGTCCAAGACATTCTATCTGGGATCAGTGTTTCAAAGTTACCGACATGTTTTGTGTCTAGTATGCGATCGGACACGTCCGATGCTTGTGTATAGCCACGTATTAGTCAGTTCGTCTTAAGTTATGAGCCGATTGGCTGTACGTGCCGCCTCATATCTTATATATGGGTGGAATATCTAGCCTTGGTTGACGTTGTACTCATAGCACTTCTTATATCCAAGCAGTATGTACGCTGAACTCCCTGTAGTGTCCACCAAACTATTGAAGCCTAAGCTAGGATTTGTCTAATTACAGTTTTATAGTTAGACTAAGGCCCCACTTCAGGCCTATAATTCTCCTACATAGCGCCTAGCACCGATGTGCCTTATTGATCCTATCCTCTATGCGGAGTCTCCTTTTTAATTTCTGTTCAAGAATTACCCCTAAGTATTTACCTCTGTCTGTCATCGGTATCTTCTTACCCAGGAAATAGGGTTCCGCTTACCCCAACAACTTACTTTTCAATGACTACTACTTATTCAAAAACAAAACTCCCTATTTATAAGAGAGCGTGGTAAGTAATTGCCTGCTTTGTCATCACCGTGTTAAAATAATGACTTCAAAATGCTCTTTTAGCATTATAACCCCTTAATTGGTAATAAAAGTTTTTGCTGGGTATTTATATTATGAACATTACATGCGATTTAAAAAAATAGTTAACGACTACATATCATAATTCTTAACACTCTTGATGAAAGGTATAGATAGGTAAATAATTCTGTAGCACATATTAAAAAAAATGTTAATGTAAATATCCCAGCAAAAGAACTTTTTGTATATTGTGATCACTTGTGAATTACGTAGAAGTAGTATAAGCATGACTTATTAATAATGTTATACGTAAATTGTCGAAAGAGTGTGGAAAATTTTAACTACATCTAAAGCATCATTATAATTCCAATTTAGTTAAGAACATTTCTCGAAAGACCTAGATATTTGGCTGGTATTTATGTATGTATTTATATGTTAAAAACTTTACTTTATAAAACATTTTCTTGCGGGGTATGTACATATGTGAATATTATAAAATTAAATCTATTACTTAGCTAAAATAGAAAAAAATATATTAGAATAAAATGTTTGTTAAAAGAGAATTCGAATATTTAGTTGAAATCGACTTTTAAAATGTGTAAAGTGAAAATAATTTTATTGTGGTGCAGTTTATTTTTTGTTATGGTATATGCCAGAAAAGGGATTTTATTTACCCCATCTGAACCGCCATTAATAAAGAATATGACGGAATTCAAAGAAAACTTTTTGCAATTATTCAGAAAAATTCGCTTAGAAAATAACTTCAATTATATTCTAATAATTAAAGAATCTTTAAGTGACTGTATAATTGATTCTATGCTAGAACATTTAAATGAACCCTGGGTTATAATGCCGAGTATAAAAAACATACATTTATTGCAGACTTACTCCAAAGAATCGCTTATTATATCGTGTATGGGACCTTTAACATTATATTTTGCAAATGTGGAATTTCGTTATTTGCCTTATATAATACTTTTAGAATCCTTTGAGGCAGTGAAGGATATATGCCAATCACAGATGTATGAAATTGGTAATATTCAACATATTTTATTAACTGAGGATTCCATAATTAAACAAACATTTTATAATTGTGATATTTGGTCACAAACTTACAAAATATTACAACAGCAACAAAATGAAAATATATTTGTGAAAAAATCTCTTAACATGGCCGGCCGTTTAATCATCACACAGTCAAATCTATTGCCACCTTTTAATATTTTGTATAGAGATAAATTTGGGCAGACAAATTTGGAAGGCTATGTGGGCAATTGTGTGAAAACTTTTGCTGAGAGGTATTTAGCTGATTTGTTTATAACTAGCACGGGAAATGTGTCACATTACAAAGAACTATATGATTATGTTATACAAGGTTTTACTGATATACCCTCCATAGTGATTCCCTTAAAACTTGAGGGTTTGTCCACTAATTTCTCATATCCTTTGGAGTTTATGGATGAATGTTTTATGATACCTTTACCCACAGCTAAACCTATACAGAGCATATTTTTTAATATTGCACAATGGCATGTGTTGCTCTTTATAGTTTTGCTTTCGATGATATATGCAGTATTCTTAAATATTGGCCAATTTAATACCCTACGTCAGTTATGCCTCATCGATGTGATTTTTAGTGATAAAATCATACGTGGTCTATTGGGTCAATCGTTTGTTATGCCGCAGAAAATTAATGGTTTTATAAAATATGTTTATATTTTAATATTCTATACCAGTCTAATGATCACCACAATCTATACGGTCTATTTAAAATCTAATCTAATCTCACCACCTCTGGAGAGAAAAATTAAAAATCTGGAAGACATAAGACAAGCTGGTTTAAAAGTTGCAGTACATCCCAGAGACTTAGAAGATTGGGATTATAATTTTTACAAAAATTATCAGGATATTTTATTTATCACAAGTGATAATTATTCGGATTTTAAAAATTTACGTGATAGCATGGACTTGCGTTATGTTTATCCGGTGGACTATCCCAGTTGGACTATATACCATGAACAGCAAAAACTATTTCAACGTAAATTGTTTTACTTTTCCAAGGATTTGTGTTTAAGTCGAATGAGTTTGTTTGCTATACCTATACGACCCGATTTACCCTATAAGGAATTGTTGAATCAGCACTTGTTGGATGTTCGTGATACGGGTCTGCTGCAGCACTGGTTCGATGAAGTTTTCATAACTTTAATACGTTTGAAAATATTATCCTTTAAGGATTTAAGTACATCGAATAAATATGACGGTTTAATCCATTGGCATGACTTTTATTGGATTTGGTTTTTATATTGTGGATGTATGATTTTTGCTTTTCTAGTCTTTGTGATAGAAAGGATTAAATACGTTTCAGTAAAACATTTAATTTAAGTTTTAAACTTGTGATGTTAATTATCTTTTTACAAAAATTGTGCACGAACGGTTTAATATTTTAATAAAGCTTAAAAAAGGTGTTAATTATTTGGTTCTGCAGTTAACAGTTACAACAAAAGGGGGGACATTTTTTTACGGAGTCTGGACTAAAGAGTCGTCCATAGTTTTGACTGTAGAGTATAGAGACTATAGTCTTTACAATAGAGTCGTCTATAGTCTTGACTAAAAAGTCGTTTATAGTCTTGACTATAAAGTCGTCTATAGTCTTGACTATAGAGTCATATATAGTATTGACTATAGAGTCGTCTATAGTCTTGACTATATAGTCTTCACAAACGGTTTAATATTTAAATAAAGTTTAACAAAAAAGGTGTTAATTATTTGGATCTGCAGTTAATAGTTACAACAAAAGGGGGGACATTTTTTGGCGGAGTCTGGACTAAAGAGTCGTCCATAGTCTTGACTGTAGAGTATAGAGACTATAGTCTTTACAATAGAGTCGTCCATAGTCTTGACTAAAAAGTCGTTTATAGTCTTGACTATAAAGTCGTCTATAGTCTTGACTATAGAGTCATATATAGTATTGACTATAGAGTCGTCTATAGTCTTGACTATATAGTCTTCTATAGTCTGTACTATAGAGTCGTCTATAGTCTTGACTATAGAGTCGTCTATAGTCTTGACTATATAGTCTTCTATAGTCTGTACTATAGAGTCGTCTATAGTCTTGACTATAGAGTCTTCTATAGTCTGGACTATAGAGTAGTCTATAGTCTTGACTATAGAGTTGCCTATAGTCTTGACTATAAAGTCGTCTATAGTCTTGACAATAGAGTAGTCTATAGTCTTGATTATAGAGTAATCTATAGTCTTGACTATAGAATAGTCTATAGTCTTGACTATAGAGTCGTCTATGGTGTTGACTATAGAGTAGCCTATAATCTTGACTATAGAGTAGTCTATAGTCTTGACTATAGAGTCGTCTATAGTCTTGACTATAGAGTCGTCTATAGTCTTGACTATAAAGTCGTCTATAGTCTTGACTATAGAGTAGCCTATAAGCTCTATAGTAATCTATAGTCTTGACTATAGAGTAGTCTATAGTCTTGATTATAGAGTAATCTATAGTCTTGACTATAGAATAGTCTATAGTCTTGACTATAGAGTCGTCTATGGTCTTGACTATAGAGTCGTCTATAGTCTTGACGTCGTCTATAGTGTGTTGCATGTCAAAATCAAAACATTTTTTAAGTTATTATTTCGTATTTCAAACTTACAAATTTGGTATTGTACTTTTAATACAATAAATGTTTAATATAGTTAAATAAACTCTTAACAAAGACACATTATTCTTTAAGAATTACTCCAAAACTTACCACCAACCATTGTTCATATTGTAGTACCAGCCCAAAAAAATAAAAAATATAAAGCATTTAGATATTTTATCCTAGATAATACCAAACTAAATTTCTATAAATGCTTAATATCCCAAAAAACTCATATTAGTTAATAGTTAAAAATTGTCCAAATAGCTAACAAAAATGTGGTTACGTTTCATAATAACTTTCGTTTGCTTCCAACAAATACGTAATGAAGAAATCCTTCGAATTAATAAATTCGAAATGGAAACCAAACTAGTTGAGCTCATCAAAACTGCTGGACACCAACATAAATTTCAGACGGTATTATTAAAATACGATGAAACTGTTGATAGTTGTGGCGAATTGGATTTCTATATCAAATTTTTGAATTCAACAATTATAATTGAAAATCTGCATAGAACCTGGTATGTGAAGGGGACTATAAATACCAACATCTTAAGTGTAGTTTGTTTGAAAGGTTTAACCACTGACTTTAAAATCGAATTGGATTCGTACTTTGAAAGTTTGAAGCGTATCAGAGATACGAAAATGATATTCTATATCAATCACAATGAAAGTGCTAATTATTTGACAAAATTGGAGGATTTTTTTAAATATTGTTGGCAACAGAAATCGCTCAATGTTATAGCTGTATTTAAAGACTATTACCTAACGAAGTACTATTATGCCTATAGGCCTTTTCCAAAATTTAAGATGGAATTTAAAGTAAACACAAATAACAGTGAGATCTTTCCCTATCGTTTAAAGGACATAATGGGTTATACACTATTAACACTGCCTGATCAGGCTGAACCAAGAACTTATTTGACTTATTTGACTGTAATTAAAAAAAAGGGTAAAATCAAAATTTCCGGTTATGTGGGTCACTTTATACATCTTTTAGCAGAGCGTTTGAATGCTACACTCAAATTTCCATTTCCTGTTAAAAAGGGTGAATTGTTGTTCTATGGTTATTTAGAGAATTTGGCCAGAAACTATACTATAGATATAGCTGGTACTGTAGTTCCTGTGCTAGATATTAAATACTTGCTGGACTATTCATATCCTTATCAAATTACCAATATTTGTCTAATGATACCTCTAGCCAAAACTATGCCACTTAAAGAAATATTTTTCCACATGATGAATGGAAAAGTTTGTATTATCAGTGTTTTAAATTTGTATCTATTCACCATGGTATTAAATGTTAAAAAGTTGAGTGTTTTTACGAGGCAAACTGCTGGAGGGGCAAAAAATATAATTAAATTTTCCGATCTCATTTTAAATGATGTTGCTCTAAGGGGTATTTTGGGACAACCCTTTAAAATGTGGCTTAAAGCTGGATTTGTTATCAAGTGTATCTACGTTCTACTATCGCTCACTGGTCTATATCTCAGTCTAACATATGTAGCATTTCTACAAACACTTTTAACGCGTCCACTCAAGGAGAAACAATTAAAAACATTCAGTGATCTGCGTCAAAACAAAATCTATACTTTGGTATCGGACTCAGAAGTTTCACATTATGAAAATATGGGCATGTCATTTAATCTCTTGTTAAAAACTGTATCCTATGAGGAATTTACTTATTTACGAAGTCATTTAAACAATACTTACGCCTATCCCACCGACAATATGAAATGGGAAACACTCGTCAATCAGCAGCAGAATATGTTTAAAAATAAAATATTTATGTTTTCCAATGATGCCTGTTTTTTGCGTACAAATTTCCTGAGTTTTCCTCAAGCTGAAAACTCTATATATCGTGAACCTTTACATAATCTGATTATGCTGGTAAGAGATCATGGTTTGGTGGAACGTTGGTTTCAAACTAACTTTTTGGACATGTTGGCTGCTGGCAAAAGTACATTAATTGATTTTAGTGTACCGAAAGAAGAAAAGCGACCGCTTCGTGTGGATGATATGGAATTGGTTTTCGTAATGTATATCGGCCTACTAATGCTGGCGATTTTGGTGTTTATTTTAGAAAGATTATTTTTTAGATATAAGAATATTAAAAATGTTTTGAAGAGTGGAAGAAATTAATAAAATAAAATTTAAATTTATTGGATGTTTTCGTAATGACACAAGACAAGAGGGACCATACTAAACCGTTAGTAGTCTGACCTATAGATCCGTCGATAGTCTGAACTATAGAGTAGTATATAGTCTGAACTATAGAGTCGTCTATAGTCTGGACTATAGGGTCGTCTATAGGCTGGACTATTGAGTCTTCTACAGTCTGGACTATAGATTAGTCTGCACTATAGAATAGTCTATAGTATGGACTATAAAGTAGTCTATAGTCTGGACTATAGAGTAGTCTATAGTCTGGACTATAAAGTAGTCTATTGTCTGGACTATTGGGTAGTCTATAGTCTGGACTATAGAGTCATCTATAGTCTAGACTATAGAGTCATCTTCTACAGTCTGGACTATAGAGTCATCTATAGTCTGGACTATAGAGTCATCTAAAGTCTACACAATAGAGTCATCTATAGTCTGGATTATAGTGTCATCTTCTACAGTCTGGACTATAGAGTCATTTATAGTCTGGACTATAAAGTCATTTAAAGTCTGTACTATAGAGTCATCTACAGAGTAAATTATAGTCTGGATTCGTCTCTGGAGTTGTCTGTCCTATAGAGTTTTGCCTATGGAGTCCATAGTGTTGCCTATAGGATCGTCTATACTGTGGCCTATAGAATCGTCATAAGTTTAGTCTACAGAATCGTCTATAGTTTGGACTATAGAGTCGTCTATAGTCTAGACTGAGTGATTGTCCTTATCTTGAGAAAAAAATTTAAGAAAATACACATTAAATGCACAAGTTTAAAGTTGGTTTTATTTTAAATTTTTATTTTTATAAAATATTAACTCTACAATAAAAACCAAAAAACTTGCTATCCATCCACTTAGACAGATAAACCAAACTATTTTTAGATCCCCATACGTGGCCGGCTTATAGCCACGAGCGCAACTCATGTCTCTAAAAGACATACGTCCCGTTTCAATCATATCAAAGAACGATGACCTATACCAGTATTGTAATATACCTGCTGAAACTAAATTCGCTATAAAATGATTTAAAGATTTTTCAAAAATGGAATTTGCCGGCAGGGGCAGAACATAAATCATAAAATTAGTAAAATACATGTTATTGGAATAGCGAAAAAGTTTTTCGGAAAAATACATTTGTTGTTTTTCATAGATAAGCCATTGACTGCTGGTGACGCCATAGGCTACAGATTTATTTAAACTATTGCGCAATTTAACAAATTCCGGAACATTTTTTATAACATTAATAAAAGGTATATATTTCTTTTTTAATTCATCCGTAACATACAAGTCCAGTAAATCGTAACCTTGTTGTAGCATAAGAATTTTTAAATTTAATTTTTGTAGATAATCCCAAGAATTGATTTCCTGATGTTTGGGTGGTGTAGTTATGTTGGAGGTTAAGTAGGTGTTGCTGAAAATGGCCAACATAAAACCCGTAAATTGTATAAGTAAGATGAAAAACTTGTAGGAGGTGTAGTATTTTCTGCGATTGACAATTTGAAATGAGGAACCCAAGAGACCCAAAAAAACTTGCTGATTTATTATAGATTTCAGAAGTACAGATGTATAAGATGCCGTAAGATTCCTTAGAAGTTCTATTATCAGCAAAAGAAGAGTATAAATGACAAACATGGTAATGAAGATGGCACCGAAATCTTGTAGAATTAAGGTATAATAAATTTCCCAGGGAGTCAAATAGTCGGCAACCGGTAACATGGGAAACCATTTACTCAATTCTACATAACGACTGTAATATTTCATGGCTTTTGCTTCATTCGGGTTGACAATGCTGGCGGGTATATCCAAAGAACCATTTAAGGTCATTTCCATAACATCGGTAAAGAATATGGGATTGTTGATTTTTATGGGAAATGGGATCTTTATAGAGGCATTTATTTTCTGGGCGTAACAAGTAATAAGACGTCCGATGTAGCCCAACATTTTGATTTGACCTTTTTTATCATATAGTAGTATAGTGCGGGGCTGTAACTGATCGGGGTAAGTGAGCAAAGGGTGTTGCTGTAAATTTTGTATTTGTTTTACAAAATAGTCGGAGGCATTCAAAGTATTAAATTGTCTTTTAAGCACTTTCAAGGAGGGCAGAGCATAGTAGGTATAAAATATATTGATGTCAGGTGATGTAAAAGGTATTATTAGTACATTATATAATTTTAATTTTTTAAAATATAGAAAATAATTTTGTATATCTTCTTTGTTAATTAATTGGTAGGATGTTTTTATTAAAGCCACTATTTTAATGTTTAAAGTTTTTGGATGAATTTGTAGGAATTTCTCTAAAATATCAACATTTTGTGTAGAGTATGGTAGTGGTAGGCTGAGTATTATTAACAATTGAGAATTTATGTTCCAAGATGTTTCCAAAATGTCTATATTATCTTGTGTTAATAACAATTTTGGTATTAAATCCAAGGATGATTTGTTATTGTTGCTCTCGTAGAACTGTGAGTATAAAAATTGTCTCGGCTGGGTTTCATTTTCAATTAATATTAATGTTTCATACTGTTGGCTTTGAAACATTTCATCAAGGATGTTTGTTAATTGTTTTGGTATTTGGTTGTAATTAAAACCCATAATAGACATTAAAAATATGCTCCAATTTATCATCTTTTTGTTAAGCTTGACTTGGCTCGCTGACTGACGACTGGCAGCCGTTTATTATTTGTGGTTTTAGGTTTTTTTGTTTGAATATATGCACGATTTATAGTTTTTATTTTATTTTCTTTTATATTTTTTCTTCTGCTTTATATATTTTTTAGCCTTGTTCGATTTAAAGAAGATTTAAGTGAACTAAATATTCAAATTTCGTAATAACATTCATTTATAGACGTTTTTACTTTGGTCAAAGGTATAATAAAATATCGTTTTTTAGAGGTGGTAAATTTATCAAAAAAATGCCTATAATTGCAGTAATTTGTTTAGTCAAAATGATGTAACCTATTTGGTTTCTATCTATTCACCTTTTGTGTATTTATGAATGCGGTCTGCAATTATCTTTTCACGTGCTCATCCATTACAATACAGACGGACTTATCGCTCCCTAGTGTGTATTCATTCATTCCGCCACTTACAAATAGGAATTTAACTTGTCTGGTAAAATTAAACTGTAAAAAAGGTAGTAAGTACGTACCATGACTATATGTTAGCTAAAATAGCTAAACGTTGAAAATGATTTGTGGTATTTATTTGTTTGTTATATATTTTATATGGACTTATGATGGTCTTTCTGTCTGTATTGTATTTATGCGTTTTTCTTCTTCACTATTGTTTGGGGTCATTTATTAAAATATTTTAGTTATTTTTGTTTTATTTGTTAAATGCCAAAGCAATTGTTAAAGTGTTAATCTATTAAATAATTATTGTATATAAATAAATGTATATAATTAAACTTGATTAAATGAATTCTTAACAAGACCTCGTTTTATTTGTAAAAAAAAAAAAACAGAAAACATCAAAAAAATATAAAAGAAACCTAATAAAGTTCATCACACCATTTGTTGAGTTGTTAAACATCAGTAAGTTTTTTTAAACCACCAATAAATGTTGCAACTTTGTACAAATTATGTTCGTTCAATTCCACAAATGGGCAAATGAACTTGAAATTGAAAATAAACAGTAAAAGTGTTGGAAAGTTGGCGAAACATAATTTTAGTTAAAGTTGAATTTCAATAATTTATTTAAAAATATTTTTATTTTGTTATGCAACGCCCAAAGTGGAGAGCCTATATAGTCCAGACTATAGACGACTCTATAGTCCAGACTGTAGACGACTCTATAATCCAGACTATAGACGACTTATAGTCCAGACTATATACGACTTATAGTCCAGACTATATACGACTTATAGTCCAGACTATAGACGACTCTATAGCCCAGACTATAGACGAATCTATAGTCCAGACTAGAGACGACTTATAGTCCAGACTATAGACGACTCTATAGTCCAGTCTATAACTCTATAGCCCAGACTATAGACGACTTAAAGTCCAAACTATAGACGACTTATAGTCCAAACTATAGACGACTTATAGTCCAGACTATAGACGACTTATAGTCCAGACTATAGACGACTCTATAGTCCAGACTATAGACGACTTATAGTCCAGACTATAGACGACTCTATAGTCGAAACTATAGAAGACTCTATAGTCGGGACTATAGACGATTCTATAGTCGGGACTATAGACGATTCTATAGTCCAGACTATAGACGATTCTATAGTCCAGACTATAGACAACTCTTTAGTAAATACTATAGACGACTCTATTTGAAATTTTAAATCAGATATTAGTAAGAAATTCAATTTTTGTTAAAAACTTGAAAAATCAGATTTTTCACTTAATAACCGATTTTTTCCCGGAAAATTTTGATATTTTACAAGATTGTCAACTTTTATCGCTAAACTATCGTTACCGCTGAAATACTTTTTCAGCACTACTACCGTTTACGTTAAAATAACAATACCGAAATAAGTCCTAAAACCGATACCGAAATGGGCCAAAATTCTGATACTGCTAAAATACCAATAACGAAATAAGAATAAATACCGATAACACAAAGATACCGTTACCGAAATAAGACAAAAATAAGTTTAAATACCGATAACGCCAACCTTGAAAATTTACCAAAATAAAATTGCTGACATTGCAATCCCTTTTAAAACGTGCCACTTTAAATCGTTTCTATTTACAATGTTTAACAATGCTGAATGACAGGTATTTAGTCCTAAAACTTGTTTGCATCAATTATTTACATTTTTCACTTTATTTGAATTAAAATTAGCAAAATTTGTTTTTATGGCCTTAAAATTCGTGGCTTTTAGCAGCATTTGTTAGCAGATTACTTTCAATTTGAAATCTGTAAGGTATATAGATCATTTAGCAGTTTAAGGCCAAATGATCTACACAATTACTAATCACTACTTGGCCTTTTTTATTTTCTTAAATTAAACGTTTGGAAGTTCTAACACTGTTATCCTTTTAGTAGCTACATGAGAAGCTTGTTAACGAACATCAGTCACAGTAATCGTATTATGTTTCGGAAATATTAGGACCATTCATACTCCAGTAAATGACGTAATATAAAGAAACTTGAAGTAGAAATGATTCGTGACAGGCATGGAAACATAATTGTTGCATATTTTCAAGACTTTTTGATATCGAAAAATGCCAATCGACTAGTCCATAGGGTACTAAATAGTCCAGTTAATAGAGTTGTCAACAAACTTATCAATGTACTGGTCACTAGATTAGATAATCAATAGTCTTGTCAATAACATAACCCCAACCTAGTACATAGATTAGACTCACATGACTAGATACATAGATTAGACTAGTACATAGATTAGTTCAAAGGCTCGGCATAATACAAGTCCATAAGCGAGTCAATAGACTTATCATTAGACTCGAAAATAGATTAGTCAGTAACTAGTTTATGCATAAATAAACGAAATGTGATTTTGTGCGTTTAGTCCATAAAAAGTAATGTTTTTGATAATTAACTATTTCAAAATTTAAATTTTCCATGCCTGGTTTACGTAACAGTTTATATAGAAATGGACTTTGTATTTTATACTAAATAGAACCAAAAATACCAACTCTTCTCCCCGTATATTATTCAGTTTACAGTTGAATTATTCAAAATTCTGTATGTAATATTTTTTTTCACAATTACAACAAATTCTCCATTCAATTCTTTAATTTAGGGATTTTTTTTTAACTTAACAGGAAATCAGTTGACACCTCTTTTTTATAACAATGAACTAGTAACAATACTAGAGAAAATTAACTGTTTGGTGGGTTGTAAACATGTTGTATTATTTATCATTAAATATGTATAAAAAATAGAATAATATCATTCTATCCAAATCTAAGTTTTTATAAAAAATTTACACATAATAAAACTATAGAATGATTAGTAAATCCCTTTCATTTACAAACAATTAAGATGCTAAACAAGAGATAAACATCGAAAAAATAACCTATAAATGCCTATGTTACAAGGAAAATTTCTTTAATTCCATAAATTCTATTAAGAAATTCAAAAAGCTTTCAAAATATAACGAAATGTGGCTACAGTTGGTGCTTTATGTGATATTTCTTAAACCAATACAAAGTGAACAAATATTAAAAACCCACAAATTTGCAATAGAATCCGAAATATTTGAATTAATCCATACCACCGAACAGCAGAATGATATACAAACTATATTAATTAAATATGAAGAATCAGTGAAAAATTGTGGTGATCTGGATTTGTATATAAAATATTTGAATGCTACACTGATAATAGAAAATCTACTTAAATCATGGTCTCTCAAAGACTCTTTAAATACAAATCTTATGTGTGTTGTTTGTTTAAAGAAACTGACGTCTGATTTTGCTATAGAATTGGCTCCCTATTTTAAAAGTCTTATAAGTATACGTGAAACTAAAATGTTGATCTATATGCATCACAATGAAAGTGGAAAGTATTTAACAAAATTGGAAAATTTTTTTCAATTCTGCTGGCAACGGAATTCTCTTAATATTTTGGCAATTTTTAAAGATTATCCTGTAACGAAACATTTATACAGCTATACACCATTTCCGAATTTTACTTTAGAAATGCGGCAACATAAGGAGGGGGATTTACTATATACCAATCGTGTTAAAGACTTAAAGGGTCACGTTTTTCTTACACTGCCCGATCAAGTAGTACCACGTACTTTTTTGACTGTAAATAAAAATGGTAAAGTGAAAATTTCCGGTTATGTGGGTCATTTTATTCATCTGCTGGCAGAATATTTAAATGCTACCTTGAAGTTTCCATTTCCCGTTAAAAAGGGAGATGTTTTATTTTATGGCTATTTGGAGACCTTAACCAGAAACTATACCATTGATTTACCCGGCACATTAGTACCAGTGATTAATGCTCAGCAGATGATTTATTACTCTTATCCATTTGAAGTTATGAATGCTTGTCTTATGATACCGAAGGCTAAATATATGCCTCTCAAGGAAGTGTACTTTTATTTGATAACCCCGGAATTGTTTACCATCAGCATAACTAATTTATACCTATTCACTTTACTAATAAATTTAAAAAGATCAAATCTGTTTAGAAGACATAGAAGAGGTGTTGTCAAACATTATGTCAAATTCTCCGATTACATACTCAACGATGTCGCTCTTAGAGGGATTTTGGGTCAACCGTTTAAAGTGTGGCTAAAGGCGGGTTTCTTTATCAAATTCATTTACATCTTACTGTCCTTTACAGGTCTATATCTTAGTCTTATTTACAATGCATTTCTACAAACCTTTTCCACTCAACCTTTTAAGGAGAAACAATTAAAAACTTTTACGGATTTGTATGAGAATAATATTTATACCTTATTATCCGATCGAGAAGTGTCATATTTTAGTGGCGCAAATAAAAATTTTAAATTATTACATCGCATTACCAACTATGAGGAATACAACAAAATGAGAAATCGTCTGAACACTTCTTATGCTTATCCCACCATAGGCATACACTGGAATTCTCTCTTCAGCCATCAGCAGAATATTTTAAAAAATAAACTTTTTATATTTTCCGAAGACGCCTGCATGTTCCATACTAATGTCTTAAGTTTTCCCTTGGCAGAGAATTCTATCTATCGTACACCAGTCCACAATTTAATCATGATTGCTAGGGACTTTGGGTTGATTAATCGTTGGTTGACTATCAACTTTCCCGATGACTTGGCAAAAGATAAATTGCCCTCGATGCTTGATTGGAGTGGCAAGGTGCCAGGTGAAAGACCTCTAAAATTGCAAGATTTTGAATTGGTACTTTCGATGTATTTGTTCCTGATGGCAGTAGGTATTTTATTGCTTTTTATGGAAAGAATATTTTTTAGATTTAAGAAAATATTGTCAAAGAGAAAATAAATTAATTTAATGCAGAATATATTTAATTGGAAAAAGGGAAGATGTAAGTAAATTTTGTATATATTTTAGATCAAAATTTTTTCAGTTTCCAACTATTTTGGAACCCTATCTCTTTTACCATTAGTATCAAATACATACTTGGCAGATCGTCTAAAAATATATATCGGGTTTTTCGGCTTTTGAAGGAAATGGATGAAAAGGACTTGTGTGTGGCCAAGGGTAATATAGTTCAAGTCTCAAAGCGATTTAGATCTACATATATAAAACTTTTTAGTCTGATTTTTAATAAGAAACTAAAATTTTCATCAAACTTAACAACGTGGTAGTTAAAACTTACTTGTATGAACTTTCATTACAATTGCTATATAATAAATATGTATTAATACGATATTCCGAGAGGACGTTTGTATTGGGGCTATCTGAAATTATGAACCTATCTTAAACTTTATTAATAATCTAAATCAAATATAGACTCAAGAAGTGACTCTGAGTTGATTGATATAATTTAACTGTTTGAAAATATATGAAATTTTTATATTTTAGCTGGTGGGAGGTAGGCGTGGCATTGGAACGATTATTACATAAATTAGTATTATTTATCTGTTTAACTTTTTTGTTCCAATTCGGTCAATAGATTCAAAATATACGAAATTTTTATTAATCGAGATATATGGGAGGTGGGCGTGTCCCCGCCAATAAAAAATGTATATAATTGGTATTTTGACAGTTTCGGATAATTAATTCTTATTAGAACTTGGAACTGGTTAAAACTAATAAAAATACATATTCGGATGTGTGTATTTCTTCGGATGTGATGTAGTATACATCCTCCTATCAACCTACCCAAATATGATTAATTAACACTTTCAATATTCTTTACATTCATTAATGACTGAAATTCCAACTTCCATTAGTATTTACACTAATTAACAGACTTTAAATATTAACTACCACTATTAATCTACTTACAAATTAGAAGTTCCCAATAGTTTTATCAACATTTACAATGTGCAAGTCAAATCGTTCATTCATTTTATTCCTTTGCACTACAATTACCAGTGGGCAGTTGTTCAGCTATGTCTCGATTAAGGAGACTAAAAATCAAAATTTCTACAAGGATCTACTAACAGAAATGGGAAGACAGCAATCATATGAAGGTTTACTAATAGTGCAACATATGCAGCCTCGAGATGCCACACTGCAAACAATCTATAGTCTACAGAAACCCAAAATTATAATGACAAATCCCCAGGATTTCTATTATAAGGGAGAATTTAATAGTGATATAATGGCTGTAATAATTATGGAGTTTAAATTTCGATGGGAATTGTGGCAACATTTTGTTAACATCTTGGCATATATGCGTCAAATAAGAATCTTAATGATTTTTGTAGATATTTACAACAATGAGAAATTGCTGAGTGAGATTCTGCAGGAATGTGAAAAATCTAAAACCACCAATGTTATTATACATTTTCTAAATTCCTCTTTGGCGGATCAGCCTTGTCGGTATTATTACTATTTGTGGCCTTATCCAAAGTATCATTTTCAAATTATAAACTTTACTACAGCTAAGGAATATTTCCCCACCAATTGGCGTAATATGAAAGGTAAATCTATTATAACTCTACCCGATCAGACTATACCACGTTCTACTGTATATAAAGATTCCAAAGGACAATTGCAGATAACAGGTTTTGCTTACAAATTAGTGAAAACCTTTATCGAATACTATAATGCCTCCTATAAACTTCTATACGAGCCAAAATTGGGTGAAATTATACATTTTAGTACCTTGGAAAATATGACTAAATATGGCATATTAGACATGCCCATGAGTGTGGCTCCTATAGATAGCAGTAGAAAATTATTGCGTCTTTCTTATCCCATAGAATTGACCAAATGGAAAATAATGTTGCCATGTGCCAAAAGAATGGATATAAATCAGGTTTATGAGGAATTGTTAACCGCTAAATTATTTTTGATTGTAATAACATTCGCCCTAGCATTTTCGGTTATGCACACCATTATAGAGAAATTATTCTATAATCAAATGTTTTGGTTAAATCTGTTAATGAGTGATAAAGTTATACCGGGTGTATTGGGTCAATCGTTTACTTTCAGAAAATCCTATTTAATAAGTCTGCGCTTGGTATATATATTGATTTTTGTAATGGGCCTATTTCTAAGCACTTTAATAACGGCTCATTTACAAACCCTTATAACAAGACCACCTTTGCATGGAGAAATTAATACTTTCGAGGAACTGCGTGAAAGTGGTAAGAAAATTCTAATGGATAGATTGGATATGAAATATGTAGATGATAATGATTATGTGGTTTATGAGCAAATGAAAGGAACAATAGAGTATACCGATAATACCACCATGTATTATCATTATCGTGGTAAGTTCAACACCTCTTATGGTTATACAGTGACATCGGCTTTGTGGAGTATCTTCGCTACTATGCAAACGAATTATGCTCAGAAAATATTTTGTTCTTCGGAAGATATGAATATAAAAAGTTTAATACCGTTTGGTATGGCTCTGGAGAACAATTCGCAATATAAGGAACCTATGGATTATTTGGTACATAAAATGCATGCCGGTGGTTTGTTGTATGCCTGGCAGTTACATGTTTTTAGTGATTTGATAAAGTTGAAAAAAATCACTTTGCGCGATTCGAGCAAGATTAAAACGTATGAAGATTTAACGGAACATGATTTGTTATTAGTTTGGACGATTTTGTTAGTTGGTTTAATTTCGAGTTTAGTGATATTCTTAGCGGAAATTTTGATTCATTGTTCTATTGAAAGTTTTCGTCAAAAATTTTGGAAAAAGTTAAATAAAAAGTAATATATATAATCTGTTGTATCCCGAAATTGATTTGTTTTATTTGTAATGGCTAACAATAAAATAGTTTAAGGCCAATTTTGATACATATTTAGCTAGTCTATAGTATAGTCCTTAGACTAGTGAATTAACTAGTTTTTGACTAGTCAATAGGCTGGCCCATTTATTAGTCTTAGACTAGTTCATTTATTAGTCCATATGCTAGGTTATAGACTATTCGATTGACTAGTTTTTATCAGACAATAGACTAATAACTAGACTAGTCCATAGACTAGTCAATAATCTAGCCCGTAGACTAGTTTTTAGACAAGCCAATAAACTAGTCCACACACTAGTTAATTGACTAGTGCATAGACTAGTGCATAGATTAGTCCATAGACTAGTGCATATACTAGTACATATACTAATACATAGACTAGTCAATAGACTAGTACATAGACTTCTCAATAGTCTAGTCATTAGTCTAGTCCGTAGACTAGTTTTTACCAAGACACCTCATTGACTAGTCGAAAAAACAGTTTTTGACGAGTCAATAGACTAGTACATAGACTAGTCACTAGTCTACACCGTAGAATAGTCACTAGTCTACTCAGTAGAATAGTTTTAAGACAATTTAATAGACTAGTCCATTTAATAGTCCATATACTAGTTAATAGACTAGTCCATTGACTAGTCTATAGACCAATCAAGAGTCCATTGATTAGTCAATATTGACTAGTCTAGAGTCCATTAATCAATATGATAGACTAGTCCGTAAACTAGTCACCAGTCTAGTCCGTAGACAACTCAATAGTCTAGTCCATATACTAGATAATAGACTAGTCAATAGACCAGTCCACAGATTATTCAGTAGACCATTTTTTGACTATTCAATAGACTGGTACATTGACTTGTCAATTGTCTTGCGTAGAATAATTGTAATTTTTATATATTTAAAATCAAAAATCGATATTTGGGCTACAATCTATTTGACAAATCTACTAACTAATTAAGAAACTAAATTAGTGTTTTGTTTTAATAACTTATTTTAATGACAATGAAAACAAAACTGTCACTAACATCTGCCCTAATGAGAGGCGAAAAAAGTCGTTAATTTTGCTATTAAAATCAAATTTTGAATTACAAATTAGAATATTTCCATAAGTATTTATCATTCACAATGTTCAATACAAAATGTTTAATAATTTTACTAATTTGCTCCAACATTATCAACGGTTTTTTACTAAAAAAGTTAAATGATAAAGAAAATTATAAAAATCACAACTTCTACAAGGAAATATTAAATCAAATCAAAACTCAAAAAACCTATGATGGTCTGATAGTGATGCAAGAGACAAGGTCGCAAGATCCAAGATTGCAAGCGATTTATACATTAAGAGAGCCAAAAATCATATTGACAAATTCCAGCAGTCTTTATTACAAGGGACAATTCAATAGCGATATCATGACAGTGGTAATAATGGAACAGGAATTTGAGCAAAAAATGTGGCATGATTTTTCAAATATTTTAAATTCTATGCGTCAAGTAAGAGTTTTAATTATTGCTTCGAATATTTACAATAAGGAACAATTCAAGCGGAATGTTTTATTACACTGTGAGAAATTTAAATTCACTAATGTTTTATTACATTTTATAAATTCATCTTCTGCTGATCTGACTCCTGATTATTATCATTTGATACCTTATCCAAAATATCACCTGAAATTAAAACATTTTGCTAAAGACAGTAAAGAATACTTTCCCACTCAATGGTTAGACATGAAAGGTAAAACTTTACTAACTCTTCCCGATCAAAATATGCCGCGCTCAGTAATGTACCGTGATATTAAAGGACAGCTGCAGTTCAGTGGTTTTGCTGCCAAATTGATTTTATTATTTGCACAAGTATTTAATGCCACTTTAAAAATGCCCTATCAGCCAAAAATTAACGAAGTAATTCACTACAGTGTACTTTTGAACATGACCCAGGAGGGAAAGTTGGACATGCCCATGAGTGTACATCCTGTGTTTAGTAGTCGTACCTTAAAACAGCTATCGTACATTACAGAAGTAAGTAAGTGGAGGATTATGGTACCCTGTGGTCGTAGAATGAAAGTTAGCCAAGTTTATGAGGCAATATTAAGTCCTCAATTATTATTCATAGTCATATTTTTCACTATAACATTTTCCCTTGTTCATACTGTTATCGAAAAACTATTCTATAATCAAATGATTTGGCAAAATCTACTAATGAGTGATAAAGTTATACCTGGTATATTGGGTCAATCGTTTGCCTTGAAAAAGTCCAGTTTAATAAGTCTACGTTTAATTTATATTTTGCTTTTTATAATGGGAGTCTATAATAGCACAATATTTTCGGCACATTTGCAAACCCTCATTACCAGTCCACCGTTTCAACGAACCATTACTACATTTGAAGAAGTGCGCCAAAGTGGCAACAAAATACTAATGAATAGACTTGACATTACAAATATGGAGGGCAACGAGTACTTGGTCAAGGAGAAAATGGCGGGAATCATAGAATACACCGACAACGCTACTTTATACAGTGAATATCGTAAAAACTTTAATACAACTTATGGTTATGGAGTCACCACGGGTCTATGGCAAATTTTTGCCAACATTCAATTGTATTATGCTCAAAAGGTATTTTGTGTTACTGACGACCTGAATCTTCAAGATGTAATACCGTTTGGAGTACCTCTCGGTGAGCATTCACCATATAGGGAGGCCATGAATTATGTAATACATAAAGTACATACTGCGGGTCTAATAGATGCTTGGCGTTCCCAAGTCTATATTGATCTATTGAAATCGAAAACAATTACTCTAAGGGACTCGAGTAGAGCCAAAACGTATGAAGATTTAAATGAAGACGATTTATTATTAGTTTGGCTGATTTTAATTGTTGGTTTAATGTTTAGTTCGTTGGTATTCTTTTGTGAAATTTTAATAAATTGTTGTCTAAAATTGTATGTTAATAAAAAGCAATGGAGGTTCAGCTGTACAAGGATTTAACACGAAATAAAGTTATTATAAAATTTAAATTAATTTATGTTTTCTAAGACAGATTTTTCTATGGAAAAAGCAAGAAATTTCTTTTTTTTATCCTATCATTTGATCATTCATCATTTGTCTATAGTAGTCTAGTCTAGTCTATAGTCTAGTCTATATGTCTAGTCTATAGTCTAGTCTTAGTCTAGTCTATAGTCTGTCTATAGTCTATTCTAGTCTATAGTCTAGTCTATAGTCTAGTCTATAGTCTAGTCTATAGTCTAGTCTATAGTCTAGTCTATAGTCTAGTCTATAGTCTAGTCTATAGTCTAGTCTATAGTCTAGTCTATAGTCTAGTCTATAGTCTAGTCTATAGTCTAGTCTATAGTCTAGTCTATAGTCTAGTCTATAGTCTAGTCTATAGTCTAGTCTATAGTCTAGTCTATAGTCTAGTCTATAGTCTAGTCTATAGTCTAGTCTATAGTCTAGTCTATAGTATAGTCTATAGTCTAATAAGTCTAGTCTATAGTCTAGTCTATAGTCTAGTCTATAGTCTAGTCTATAGTCTAGTCTATAGTCTAGTCTATAGTCTAGTCTATAGTCTAGTCTATAGTCTAGTCTATAGTCTAGTCTATAGTCTAGTCTATAGTCTAGTCTATAGTCTAGTCTATAGTCTAGTCTATAGTCTAGTCTATAGTCTAGTCTATAGTCTAGTCTATAGTCTAGTCTATATAGTCTAGTCTATAGTCTAGTCTATAGTCTAGTCTATAGTCTAGTCTATAGTCTAGTCTATAGTCTAGTCTATAGTCTAGTCTATAGTCTAGTCTATAGTCTAGTCTATAGTCTAGTCTATAGTCTAGTCTATAGTCTAGTCTATAGTCTAGTCTATAGTCTAGTCTATAGTCTAGTCTATAGTCTAGTCTATAGTCTAGTCTATAGTCTAGTCTATAGTCTAGTCTATAGTCTAGTCTATAGTCTAGTCTATAGTCTAGTCTATAGTCTAGTCTATAGTCTAGTCTATAGTCTAGTCTATAGTCTAGTCTATAGTCTAGTCTATAGTCTAGTCTATAGTCTAGTCTATAGTCTAGTCTATAGTCTAGTCTATAGTCTAGTCTATAGTCTAGTCTATAGTCTAGTCTATAGTCTAGTCTATAGTCTAGTCTATAGTCTAGTCTATAGTCTAGTCTATAGTCTAGTCTATAGTCTAGTCTATAGTCTAGTCTATAGTCTAGTCTATAGTCTAGTCTATAGTCTAGTCTATAGTGTAGTCTATAGTCTAGTCTATAGTGTAGTCTATAGTCTAGTCTATAGTGTAGTCTATAGTCTAGTCTATAGTCTAGTCTATAGTCTAGTCTATAGTCTAGTCTATAGTCTAGTCTATAGTCTAGTCTATAGTCTAGTCTATAGACTAGAGTCTAGTTTATAGTTTAGTCTAGCGGAAAATTAGTTTAATACTTTATAACCTAAAAAATCCTTTTCAACTTTTCCATGCCTGCCCCTAGAGTCCAGTAGGCGCTCTAATTTCTCTAGGTGAGAGAAGAGAACTTTTTTATAAGAAAATCTCTCGGTGAGAGAAATAAGCCTGTGTGGGCTTCAATCATTCTTCCTTTTTACTTTCTTTTTAAATTCTGGTTCAAGGAAATTCATAGTTAAAACTTCCTTAATAATTTCCAACAATATTCCTTAATTATAATAAAAATGTTAAAAATAAAACTGTCATAAACACCTGCCTTAATGAGCTGAACTAATAAAGTAATTTGCTGTAAAATTATGACAAACTAAATATTCAAATTCCAATGTTTCATTTAGAATTCAAACATTGAAAATGTACAACATAAACCGCTTAATTATTTTACTATGTTGTACTGCAATTAGCAGTGGACATTTGATTCCGAAATTATTAACAAATCCAAAACACAATGAAAGTGTACATTTTTATACAAAACTACTAATGGAAATTAAAACTCAAAAAACCTTTGACTCTATATTGATGGTGCAACATAGGATGCCTCAAGATGCTAGACTACAAATGATTTATAAGTTAAAGGAACCCAAAGTTATAATAACAAATAAAATCAACAATAAATCAAATATTTACTACAAAGAACTATTTAATAATGAAGTAATAGCAGTGGTAATAATAGAACGCTCGTTTACCATCGATCTATGGAACCATTTTCTACATGTCCTCGACTATTTGCGACAAATAAGAATTTTAATGATTTTCGTAAATGTTCGTAATACTGAGAAATTGCATAATGAGGTTCTAGAGGCATGTGAAGAATATAAAATTACAAATGGAATCTTGCATTTTCTAAATTCCTCCATTATGGAAGAAACTTCTTTGGAATATTTACAACTGCTGCCATATCCTCAGTATCATTTGAAAACGAGACAATTTGGCCGGTTAAATGAAGAATATTTTCCCATACATTGGCATGATATGAAAGGTAAGACATTAATGACTCTACCAGATCAATTGGTGCCACGCTCTATAATGTATAGAGATAGAAAAGGTAAAATAAGGCACAGTGGCCTTGCTGCCAAAACGGTAGAATTATTTGCAGAAGTATTTAATGCCACTTTGAAAATGCCATTTCAGCCGGAAATAGGTGAAATTATACACTACAGTATTATTTTAAATATGACTAAACGTGGGGAATTGGATATTCCCATGTCGGTGAATCCAATTTTTACCGCTCGCTCTTTAAGGCACATGTCCTATCCCACTGAAGTAAGTAAATGGATGATCATGGTACCCTGCTCTACAAGAATGACAGTTTGTGAAGTTTACGATTTAATGTTAACACCTCAACTATTTGGTGTAATTGTTATCTTCACAGTAACATTTTCTCTAGTTCATACGATTATAGAGAAGTTATTCTATAAACAAATGATTTGGTTAAATCTGCTAATGTGTGATAAAGTTATACCAGGAGTATTGGGACAATCGTTTAATTTCAAAAAATCTAGTGTATTAAGTCTTCGTATGATTTATGTATTAATTTTTATTTTGGGTCTGTATATGAGTACACATTTTTCAGCCCATTTACAAACTCTCATCACTAGTCCACCATTTCACTCGCATATTTCCACTTTCAAGGAGTTACGTGAGAGTGAACAGAAAATACTTGTAAATAAATGGGATGTAAAGGACATTGAAGACAACGATGACATCCTTAGTAGAGAAATGAAAGGAACTATTGTTTATACCGATAATTCGACATTATTTGGTGACTTGAGAGATAGTTTCAACTCTACCTACGGCTATACGGTTACATTGGCTCTCTGGAACATTTACTCGCATGTACAAATGTATTATGCCCAAAAGAAATTTTGTGTTTCTGAAGATATGAACATTTGGAATGTACTACTATTTGGTTTACCATTGGGAAAACATTCACCCTATAAGGAACCATTGGATTATCTAGTGCATAAAATACATTCGAGTGGTTTGTTGAATGCTTGGAGATTAGAAGTTTTTAATGATTTATTGAATTCGAATAGAATTACTTTTCATGATGCGAGTAGATTTAAAACTTATGAAGATTTAACGGAACATGATTTGCTATTGGTTTGGATAATATTGGTAATCGGTTTGATGTGCAGCGTGATTCTGTTTTTTATTGAAATTGTGTTTCATTGTTGTATGATGAAATATTTTGAAGAGAAGATATGATAGTTGAACTTTAAGAAGTCTTGATTTTGAAATAATAAAAGTTGATCATAAAATGCTTTACAAATCTTAATTTTGTTTTATTTAAAATCATTTTTTGAGATTAAAATACTTGAGACAAAAACTGGGACGAGTTAATTATGGACTTAGTTATACGAAACTTGAAAGAGTTATAAATTTCTCAGAAAACAGTGTATACTTTTCTAAGGGTTATGCTGCGCCCTTTTATATCAGTTTTTTGATCTGATATGTCATTTGAAAGTCCAATCTGTCGTCTTTAAAATAAATGATTAATCTCTGTTATACTTGTTTCCATCTTCGAGATAACTTAAACTTGAGAATATGTTAGGGTCAATTAGGAACCGGTACTCATGATACTTTGTAGCGAGATTTTGATCCTTAGAATTTCATCGTCATACTGGTGTTTTAAGTATAAACGGATCAAAGGATCAAATGTATGTATGTATATATATATATATATAAAATCTTTGAATGTTTCTTTATTTGTTTACCATTTCCAAAACAAAAGTTTCTTAAACGAATCACGGTTCCCCAAACTATAAATTAGCCCAGCAGGGGCTACTTAATATCTTTTGGTGAGAGAGTTTATTCACTTAGTGCGAGAATGTTACGTAAATGAAAAACATGTGTGGATTCCATTTTTCCAAACTTCTTCAAAGAAAATTATAAATCAAACACGGAAATCCTTTTTAATTTCTTAAATTTCCTACAAACTTCATTAATTTTAATAAAAATGTTAAAACTAAAACTGTCATAAACATTTGCTTTAATGAGCAAACAAGTAATGTAATTAGCAGAAAAATTATAATAAACAAAATGTTCAAACCTTAATGTTTCATTTAGAATTCAAACATTGAAAATGTACAACTTAAACCGCTTAATTATTTTACTATTTTGTACTGCCATTAGCAGCGGACATTTGTATCCCAAATTATTAATAAATCCAATACAAGAAGAAAGTGTTCATTTCTATACAAAACTATTAATGGAAATAAAAACTCAAAAAACCTTTGATTCTATACTAATGGTGCAACACAGGATGCCCCAAGATCCTAGACTACAAATGATTTATAAGTTAAAGGAACCCAAAGTTATAATAACAAATAAAATGAACAATAAATCAAATATTAACTACAAAGAACAATTTAATAATGAAGTAATAGCAGTGGTAATAATAGAACGTTCGTTTACCATCGATCTCTGGGACCATTTCCTACATGTCCTCGACTATTTGCGACAAATAAGAATTTTAATGATTTTCGTAAATGTTCATAAAACTGAGAAATTGCAAAATGAGGTTCTAGAAGTCTGCGAAGAATATAAAATTACAAATGGAA